GGGGATGGGTGTCGTTAGTGTTCAAGTGCGCGGTGGTCAAAAAAGGTAGTTTTGGGGCCGGGGGGGTGTAAGGGGAAAATTAAAAAAAAAAAAAAAAAAAAAAAAAAACAACAACAACAAAAAGCACCCAAACTCAGGTGGGAGATTTTTCTGTAGAGTGTGTCTTTGTTTTTGTTCGGTCATAGGTGTTGGTTCAAGGTGGCTCTAGGCAAGGAGAGTTGGTGGGTTAATTCTTTTGTAATATTCAAATGAGGTGATGAGGGGCTAGGGAGATGGCTCTTTGGGTAAGAACGCTCTGTAAGACACTTTTGGAAACAAACAGATCCTCAGAACTTACTGACCAGCCAGAGTAGCTCAAATGGCAGCTTCAGGTTCTATTAGACTCTGTCTCAATGAAATAGGGCAGAGAGTGGTGGAGGAAGACAGAAGACATCCTCCTCTGGCTTTACCATGCACATGCATGGTTGCATGTCCCTGCACACACCAAAAAGAAAAGCATTCAAATGAGGTGAGTAAAGTTGTAAGGCTCGACTTTGATCAGCAGGCCTGGGCCTCTGGATTCACTCCCTAGCACCAAATAAAATAAAATAAAAATCATGAGAAGACTTAAAGACAAAAGCCTTGTTATCTGAAAAGAGGGTGGCAGGGAGCCAGGCACCATCTGGGGTCTGAAGGTCTCCTTTTGAAGCTTAGCTTTATTGCTTCCTTTTTACCTGTGTCAAGGTACTGTACCTTTCTGAGCCCGAGTTTCATCATCTTAAAACGGGTAGTTAGATAGTTCTGACAACCAAATAAATGAACTCGCAAGATTTGTGTTGTCTTGCTTACAGCAAATGTTGAATTCTGTGGAGACTAGAGGTTATACCATGAGTTCTAGTAATATCCTAAGCACTGCAGACTGAAGCTCTCTCTGTGTGTTGAGTGCAGTTGAGGAGGCACAGGGTTCCTTAGCCTGAAAGTGAATTGGTTGCAATCAAGTGTTTCTACTCAAGGTGGCGCTGTTTCCCTACCAACAATGTCGTTGCACGGTTTTAATTCTGTGAGTTCAGCATCAGGAAAATCCCTGGACCTGGGTTAGTACTGTTTCTGTCCTCGCTCATCCTCCAGCTGTCTGCCCTTGAGAAGTTCCACCAATGTAATCACCCCCATAGCCTCTGTGGTTTCTATAGGCGAGCCGGTTTAGTTTTGTGGTGTCAGGAATGGAACCTCCGACCTCCTGCATGCTAAGCAAGCAACCTGTCACTCAGTTACACCTGAGCCCTGAGACATTTGTTAAACAACACTTAAAAGTCATTTTGTTTAGACAGGACCTCATGAATCCCAGGCTGGCCCCAAACTTGGTATGTAGCCAAGGCTGATTTTGAACTTCTGATCCTCCTGCATCTACCTTCTGAGCGCTGGGATTACAGGCTTGCACCACCATGCTTGGTTTTATACAGTGCTGGGGATCGAACCTAGGCCCTCATGCATGCTAGGCAAACATCTTACCAAATGAGTCACTTCGCCAACCCTGGGATAATACTTTAGATGATCCACCTTGCTTTTTATGTTTTGGAGTAAATTTGCTTTTCAGTATCAAATATTTGAATGTAAAACCCAGTATGATTCTTCTCAAACCTACTGCTGTACAGAGGGAGTGCTATGTTCACAGGGTTCCTCTGTGTCAGGACCCCCTGAAAATTGTTTCTTCCTTCCTGTCACACACTAGATGTGCATTTTCATACAGTCATTCTGTGTCTGATACAAATTGTTTTCATTTTTAGATCCGGGGATTTCTGTCACGGTTTGATAATGTCCTTCCTGTCAGCCTGGCATTTGACAAATGTACAGCCTGTTCATCCAAAGTAAGTCGTTTTGCATTTGAGAGACTTCATCTGCAGAGAGACCCTGCCAGCATTTAACTTCAGCCTTCCCAACCAGGGTCACTAAAACCAACCAAGGGTTTTTTGTAGAGGATGGGGAGCTGGGTTGATGGGGGTGGGGGCGCAGACCTGCTGTCATTCAACTGCATTCAGAAAAGCTTAATAAACAGAGAGAGCCCAGGATAGATACTGGGCTCTCTGCGTCAGTACTTGCTGCAGGCTTGAACTTGAACTTTACTGGCTTTTACTCTTCATTCCCAAAGGTTTTCTTCCTTGTATCCTACTGAGCAGAGCAGTAAAGTCTGATTTGAGATTTTAAAGCCTTATCCAGAAGGTAGGGGGATTCCGGACAGTCTTGACTGTGAGTCTTTTGGAGATGTTCCTAATATGACAAAGGAAAAATAAACAGAGATGAGGGCCTGGATAGGCAGCCCAGAACCAGCCCCTTCCTCTTTGATCTTTCCAGCAGCTCTAAAAATAGAGCCTGTCTGTTGTCCATTGTAATGAGAACCAGCTGATGTATCGCAAAGCTATCTAGATGGTGTCTCGTTTTTTAATAGGCTTTGAGGTGCCGTCTGAGTTATTCTTACATGTGTACTGTACGTGACAGCTGATTTCCTTTCCGGTGTCCCTTTAAGCCTTCTAACCCACAGCAACTTAACCTGGGCTTTTTTAACTCCTGGCTTTTGATAAGCATAGCAACTTAACCTGGGCTTTTTTAACTCCTAGTTGTTGTTAAGCAAGGAGCCTCATGTTGGAGTGCCATACATAAGAGTTGGGGGCAGGGGGTCACTCAACCCAAGCTGGGGGTCTCAGTTAAGAATTTGGGATTTCCCTGTCATGTACCCTACAGCAGGCAGTATGGAGGGAATTGACTCTAGGGAAATTCTCTATGACAAATTGACATAATTCTGTTGAAAACTTCACATGAATCAAGTCTTCTGAGATGCAAAATCCTATCTGGTTTGTCTGACAGTGGAACTTCAATTTGATAAACTGTGTTGATGAATTGGGTTAAATGTAGGCACTCCAAAGTGGAGAATAGTTTTCCTTTCTGCTTTAGAATAAACTAAGCCTGTTTTATCCTTGGGCATCTTAAGTGCCTGGTTGAGAGTTAAAGCTCATTATTTGTGGTAAATGACCCCTGCACTCATTTCTCTTGTTTCTTTAAAGTGTCCTGTGCCCTCTTTGGCCAGACCTTGAGTTTGGCTACATGTACTTCTGTCTTCAGAAATTCAGGGTTTTGGGTGATATGTGCCTTAGCAGAACTAACTTTTCCTTCCTTCCTTCCTTCCTTCCTTCCTTCCTTCCTTCCTTCCTTCCTTCCTTCCTTCCTTCCTTTTTTCTTTGTATGACTGAGCTAATTAGTCTACAAATAACTTGGCAGTATTAATTTTCAAGCTGAAATCATTTGGTACAGATGCCAGGAGTTTTTCAATGGCTTTATATAAGTCCAGCTAGTCAATGAAACGAAGATAATTGGGCTTTCTGAGTGAAATGCAAACACTCGTTCTTTCTTGTTCTGTTTCTAATTAAATTAGCCCTTAAGATACTGTTTATAGAAGAATCCCAAGCTGGCCTGCTGACTGAGCACCCCCCCCATATTCTTTAAGGGAGAAGAGCTTTGCATTTTTCTTTCACCTCTCTTGTAAGCATCAGATTAAACACAGGTACAGTCTGTTGTTACGAAAGTTATTTCCTCTAAGTGGTGGTAAGAGAGTCCTGTTTTACACAAACTTGCCTGAGGATTTAATACAAACTGACATGGGTTGTAACAGCTGTGTGGTTCCCATAGCGATCACTTTTCATGTGGTCTGGATATTGGATTTCCTTTGTGCTGAGAAGGTTGTTTTCTTGGTGCAATGCTTGCTTCCAGGAGAAGCCTAGGTTTTACCTACCTAGCTGCCTTCTTCACCAGCATGGGAATGTGTCACTCTCTATTATCTGCAGACCCAGTTCAAGTCCAGTTAGGTTTTATCTCTGTATGTGATATTTCTTTTTCATGTATACTCAGCATGATAGTTTTTATAGTGAGTCATCTTGGTTGCTGCTGTTTGAATAAAACTTCTTTGGGACATAAAATGACTTTTAGAAGTTTCTCCTTTAAAATTTTTTATATCAGTTTTTCTTTTTTCTTGAGAATTTCATACATGCATACTATTAAACATGATCTACCCTCCATTTCCCCCTCCCACCCCACCTCCCACTAAGTCCAGTTAGTCCTGCCCATATGTGTATGGGTGTGGGTCCTTCCATTGAAACCTACCAGTGGCCATGTATTCCAAAGGACCCATTCTCCCTCCCCCAGCAACTGTCAACTGCCAGTAGCTCCTCAGTAAGGGGTAGGGCCTCGAGATCATCTACACCATCTGTGCCGGAAATTTGGCTGGCTAGATCTTAGGCGGGTATTGTGCTCGTAACCACAGCTGCTGTGAATTCATGGGAACAACAGCCATGGCAAGTCCAGGCGTCTGCATGTCACAGCACTCCTCCCCATCCTCCAGCTCTTACATTCTTTCCTCCTCCTTCTCCTCTTCCTGAATGTTCCCTTAGATTTAGTGATGGTGGTGTTGGGGGTTGTTGAGAAAGACGTCCTGTTCAGGACTGAGCACTGAGTCTCTTATTCTTGTGAGGTATTTTTTTTTCCTTTGGTAGTTTTCAGTATCTGTGCTTTTTTCCTAGGGAAAAAGGGCATAGTTGTGTCTTGATTTAGCCACAGGTACAGAGAGGAGGATTGGGGAGGCAGAATAAACCCTGTTAGTAATCCTTTTGCTTATTGCCTTGTCTATTAAAAATAATAAAAACAGCCAGTGTAACTCTTGATGTCACCGGAGCTGGAAAAGACCACAGTCCTGAGCTCCTGTGTGGGGGAAGTTGGATTCATCTCAGCTTGGGACACAGCTGGGTGGATGACTCCATTTCACAGACTCTCAGAGAGTTTAACTTCTGTCTGTCATCTCACACAACTTCCTAAAATAATGGTATCTACCACTAGAATTTGGGAGGAAAAAAAACACCCTTATTTGATGCCAGCATAAATTATTTTCTAGTTCTGGAGTATTTCGACTTTCCTATCAGAGCAAAGAGTATGATTTTGAGCCAAGTAGTCCTGAAAGAATGTCTCATAATGCATTGGGTTGGTTTATTAGCAGCAGTCTCCTAGTGTTTTGTTGTTTGTTTATTTTTTTGTTGGCAGTTAGGGTTTTTGTAGTAACTTTTAATTTTGATTCATTTAAAAGTTACAGAAAACACAGAATAGCGCTCCTGCTTGGCCTTTTCCAAAATCTAATGGGATCTGTTCCCGTGTCCTCCCTGCTGCCTCTTCCCCACAAACCTGCCCCTTTGTTTCTTTTCTTGTGTTTTCCAGAGTCAGTAGGGAATTGTGATCCTTCTCAACTGAATGCCTCAGTGTGAGTTTCCTAATAACAAAGACATTACCTAAATAAACACAATACACTTATGAAATTGAGATGATTTAGTGTTGGCGCTGTTACTATATATAATCCACACTCTGTATTTCAAATGTTATTTGTCCTCCTGGTGTTCTTAATGATCTCCTCCTCCTCCTCTTCTCCCTCTTCTTCCTCTTTCTCTTCCTCTTCCTCCTCCTCCCCACCCCACCCCCAATCAGGATCAAACTTGGCATTTATTTAGTTGTTATGTCTCTTTTCTTTTTTTGAACTTGACCTTTTGACATGTTGCTGATTATTTTTATAGAATTTCCCTTGATTTGGATTTGTCTACTATTTTCTTGTGGTGAGATTCAGCTTATGAATTTCTAGGGACACCAAGAAAGTGTATTCTCCTGTCCTGAGGGGTGTGTGTTGTGTTTGGTCCGGTTGTTAATGTTAATTTTCCCTTTTCCATGTTTGTAACTCCTTTTCCCAGGAGGGAGAAACCTGCTTCCCATTCTCCTGGATACATTTGTCTACCAGCTCAGACCTAGAATGTACAGAAAGTTGTTTCAAAATGGCCAGTTCTGCTACTTTAGGAAATGGAGTTATGAAGATGACTCAGTCAGTAAAGTGCTTGCCACACAAGCCTGAGGACCTGGGTTGATATCCCTAGCACTACACCAAGGCCAAGAATAATGGCATGTGTCTGTAACACAGTGCTGGTGGGAGCCAGGACAAAGACAGGTGGACCCCCAAGCTTACAGTCTAGCTAGTTGGTGGGCTCCAGATTCAGTGGGAGACCGTGTCTCAAGAAATAAAGTGTAAAGCAATAAAGGAAAACAACCCAATGTTGACCTCTAGCCTCCACTTGCATGCACACATACCCACAGGCACATATGTACACACACATGCACATACACATATACTATACACAGATTTTAAAAAGAAAGGGAGTGAGCCTATTAAGTAGAATTCAGTCTTTACACATAGTTGGTGTTTTTTTCTTTCTTTCTGGATCAGCTTCTTAGAAGAATGCTGTTCATTCTAAAACAATTCTGTGCACATTGACAAAGCAGGAAGCAGAATACCTCCCTCGCTCCAGAACTTTTCCCAGTCACTTTCACTTAAGAGGGGAGGATGTCGCATATTGGAAATGTTATTTTCCTTAAGGAGCCCAGACATTTCCCAGTGTTTTCATGATAGTAGCTTTGTGTCTGGAGCCTCGAAGTTGGGCAGTGGTAGCTACAGAGTGAGATGAGGGCTGTGTCTGAGGAGGTAGAGTACAGGGGCATGCTGATCTGGGGAGGCAGTGGGAAGGAGAGCAGGCTTCACTGCGGAGGCAATGCAAGGAGACACACTTGCCTGGGGAGGCAGAGCGCCCTGGGCCTCAAGATGTGCCCAAAAATCTAATGGCGAGATTTTAATTAATGATGGACAGGGCTAATAATACTCTTAGGTTGACTTGGGCAGGAGCTTCTGCTGATGGCTATCATTCAACTTCTGAGAACAACTTGCTGTTATTGTGTGTCTGTGTTACTGTGTGTCCAGGGGTAGGAGCCAGTGATTGTAGAATAGCAGCCATCAGCT